GGGGGGCAGTGAATCTCATTCCATCCACTGCCCAACGAAGACGGTGGTTTGAGATTGTGAAGCGAGAAGGGACGCCTTCTTGTGTACCTGCAATTTTCCACTTTCGAATGGCGAGAGGCTAAGCCTAGAACCTCACTTGCTGCAGACTTGAGCGATCGTCGTCATTTCGACCTGTTCGTCGCCTTCGACCTTACGCTTTTGGCCTCACTTCCTCTTCCAGACCCCCAGGCTCCGAGGGTCCTTACTGGTACTCTTAGGAAATGGAACCCTAGGCCGGCGTGTGGCACCGCATTCAGTTCAGTACACAATATCTCAAGTGTGTTGTCTCGGTGTGTGTTGTCTCTGCATGTGTTGTCTCGGTGTGTGTTGTCTCTGTGTGTGTTGTCTCGGTGTGTGTTGTCTCTGTATGTGTTGTCTCGGTATGTGTTGTCTCTGTGTGTGTTGTCTCTGTGTGTGTTGTCTGTGTGTGTGTGTTGTCTCGGTGTGTGTGGTCTCTGTGTGTGTGTGATCTCTGTGTGTGTGTGTTGCCTCGGTGTGTGTGGTCTCTGTATGTGTTGTCTCGGTGTGGAGGGAGGAGGCGGCGGGAAGCGGGATGAGACATAGAAAAGAAGAACCCCACACTAAGATGTGGGGAAAAAGGAAGAAACCAGCTTATGCCGTGCCATGAACCAAATCCCCGAAACGCTTCAGACCTCAAGGTTCATTTTGCACTCCTGTTCCTTTCACTTGTTGGCATTGCAACGAACAGCAAACAATGGATTCAAATGCATTAATCTTCAATAATGTTCCCAGACCAGAGGTTGATGACAAAGATCTGCCACCAAAATCACTGATTCTCTCAGGGTTTTTCTTCCAAGTCTTTGCGAGATGGTGCGTGTTGATCCAATATGGAGAAGTTTTGTGCTGCTTCACGGTCTGGACCGCCACGATGGCGCTAGGTCTGCTGGTCTCATCTGTTTTCAGCCCATGACGGGCCTCATCTTGCAGGGCCCCGTACACTGGAAGCCGCTGCCAACCTTGCAGCCCATGCAAATCTATATCACATCCTCATACTGTATATTAATCTGCAATCTGAAAGTCTGCGCGGATTGATTTAAGATCCCCTCTGCTACTGTTTCCCTTTGAAATGTCCGAAGGAGATGTTGCACAAATCTTGAAGCCTTGAAATTGGGTAGGGTATTACAAAAATGATATGCAAAGTACTGCTCTAGTTGACAAGCTCAATAACTACATATCGTGTGGCATCACACTATGCTTCTTTTGCTGGCGGATGTAGAATCTGCATCATTGGAAATATATAATCGATTGCAGCGTGTTGAACGAAAACGATCACAGTCCACGTCATTTTGCACTTGGCATCTCCATTGTTGAGAGTTCAAGATTAATCAAAACAAGATCCAGTGGCTCTATCTTTCTGTCTACGCCTCACACAAGTTTAGAACAGTTTCCACACATCCTCCGGCCATATCCTGAATTATGATTGTAGGACGACGCAGCTGATCTCATTCATAGCTCCTTGCTTTCTCATCGCTAGCTAGCGGCTAGCGCCTTCCCCCTTTCACCTCTCTTTCTCCCAATCCCTAAGGCCCTTGCCAATACACCTTTGCACATGCTGCACCATGTTGGCACAAGGAACACCTTTGCACAAGCCCAGCTCTTGTTCTGCGTTGCTAAATGATCTTGTGCGATGGTCGCTGGAAAACAGCTCTGGCCACACTTACACATGACACGCGCTCGTTGGCCTTTGGTTTCAAGTTGTGCGCTTGCAAAGGCGACTTTGGAGGGCTCAAAGACCTGTCAGACACACGAGCTTCACAGAGTACGCGATGGCCAACATACTCCCCATCAAGGCTCCGACATGTCCATGTGGCCGTTCAACGCGCGTCCGGTGATCCTCAGAAAGCAAAGAAAAGTTGAACCACAACTACCAAGACTTGCATCTGAGCGCCCTATCATGTTCTATCCCACCACTTGTGAAGGCAATCTTGGTTGAGCATCTCATCAAACTGAGCGCCAAACAGAAATCAAAAATGCATGTATAAATAACAAGGATTTGGAAATGCTTCGAGCCAAATGAGTCGCTGCACATTGCACACAAATTGGTAATTTGTGTTGTTTCATGGGTCCACAATTCAGCTTTACGAGTAGGACATTGGAACACATGCAGCGGTGTTGATCACTTGATCAAAGCTGCTGGAAGCAGCTTCAAGGAATACACTCACCTGCCTCGTCAACAAAGATTTCAGTAAAACGCCCTCGAATTCCAGGAGGCAACTCCTGGTAAGAAATTTGCAAAGTCGACCCAAAAGCAGCTGCCTGCTCTGTCTGCACCTTCTTTCCTGCGGCTTGCCCAGCTCGGGCGCCAGGTGGAGCACTTTGCGCCTGCGACATGTGAACACCAACCCCCGCCACCAACCCCGAACGACCCCCAACGTCCCCGAACGACCCCGGACGACCCTGACCCAACTGGTTTGGGTTTTTCATGGTTCTTCCATTTCCTCCCTTCTACATCTGCCTCGGCAAACCTCCAGTCGAACACCAACCAAATGACCAAATGATCTTCTTTCCTTTCCAGCCTTTCGTGCTTTTTGGTGCCTTTGACTCTTAAGGACCCTCATGGCGCGGTCAGCCCCTTGCGGCGCACACCGGTGCGCGAACTTCCATGACCTGCTCCGCAGACTCCGTATCTTCAGGAGGAGGGGGCCTGGCCGCATGGCCGAATGAGGCCAAACGTACCAAAATCCTTCCACACTCGCTCGTCTGGGATACAAGAGTGGATGAAAAGAATTGGCCAGGTTGACAAGCGAGGCCTCAAAAAGACTGCTAAACGCAACAAACAGCATGAAAGATACATAGACTTATATGAATTTATATAATGTCTCCCGAAACTGCCAGGCTCGAATTTGCAAAAGTCAAGGCTCCGTACGGATTCATGCAAGCGAATAACCTAAAATCGGCATGCGGCCTCAGTTGCTCCACCAGATTGACAGGAAGAATCCACACCCATCCAAATAGGCTCTTGCTGCCCAATGGTATGATGGCTTCTGTGCTGCGGGTGTTTGTACGAACCCACCCTCAAAGCCCAAAAAGGGGCTGCTGTCAATCTCTGAACTCGAGGCTTTAATCTGAGTCGCTCATCTGCTTAAACCCCTCACGAAGAAGGAACTCCCGAAACCACCGGAGCAGCTTGCAGCAGACGAACCTCCCGCGTCCATTGCATCGACGAGCAGACTTGCGCCGATTGCGGCCCCCACAGCACTCGCTCGTTGCCAGACTCCGGCAAGGCCAAATGAGCTCCTGGCCTCAGTCCCAAGCAGAAAAGGAACATCTTGGATAGACCATGGGTGACCATGTTAGACCAACAGAACTGAAGGTCTTGAGGTCAACTGAGACCATCTGTCTGAGCAGTTAGATTCTTGTCTGATGCGCGTGAAGTCCAAGGCCTGAAAATAGGTCTCAATAGGTCTTTGACGGCTCCGGCTCCTAGAAGTGGCCGTTCCACTGAGCCAATTGAACGGCAGCTTCGTTTGCTCAGTGGAACGGCGGAATTGTGGGCGGTCTGTTGGCTTCGTCCCTGCCAGGTCTTTGTAAGCAACATGTCCTTCGAGCATCGAGGTCTTGGAGGTCTTTCGAAATTATCCCAGCGCAACGCATGAAACAAGGCTGTAAGCATTCGTGGGTGCCGGGATGTGTGATTTTGGGCTATTGAAAGCATGAGGCTGTCGTCTGCAGCAACTAGCTGCTTTCAATCCTCAAGACCAACCAAATACACATCGTCCAAATATACTCCTCATATTTAGGTTGGAGGCCATCGCTAGGAGGGTCGGAAGGTGTGTTCCTCAGTCCAAATGAGAAGATCTGCAACTTTGTGCCTGTGCATCGACGTTATTTTGTTTTCTACGTGTGTATGTGTTATATGTTATTCGTCAAGACCAACAGACCCTGCTTCATGCCATCAGGATGCAGTCCAAGCTTTGATAAAGTGCCAGTGCCGGCATTTACCTGTGTTGTTGCTTTTAGGAAGTGCTTTGAATATGTTCCCCTGAGGCATCTAATCTTTTGAGGGTGGGACTGGGAACTGCCACAAACGAGTTCAAGCACTAGTCACTGCTCATTTGCTGTGGCCACTCCAGCTTCTCCCCCAACCCTCCATTTCAAGTCAGCAGACCTACCTGAATATCCTTAATCCTCAGGCCCACAAATGCCCGTTGCAATCCTCTTTTGACCCAGTTATGCTACTGATTGGCAAAAGGCAACGCATCTGAGGCATCTGCGCTCGCTCGATGAGCCCCTGAATTCGCTGCAAAAGGTCGGAGGGAGCCAAGTTGATTTCGTCCAGAACCTCTGATCAAGAATGTCAAAGACTTTGACGATGCAGAAAAAGACAACTTGGATCTTCAAACCGGAAACCCTTCTGAGCCGCTGCTGCAAACAGCAAAAAACGATTTCATTTTGCAACTTCAAAAGCTAGCTGGTTTCCTCCCTGAGCTCCTAGCGACCCAAGCGCCCGAGCGCAAGGCCTGCAAAGGACTGAAGAGTCGAAGAGTGCTTTGGGGGAAAAGCTTTTGTGCAACAGTCATATTATCTATCTAGGTCATGCCTGGACTAGCAAGCCTTCTTTGAACTCAAACTTTGGAGCTGAACCTGCTGCTGTGACCTGGCAACACTCAGCCACAATCTTGAGACATCAATGCACACAACTGCGGAATTGGACTACAAACACAATACATTCTGAGCCTGAAATGTCACAAAACAGAATGCTGAGCTGGTGAGTAGAGAAAGTTTGGCAATGCTGGTGGATTTAAAGGTTGTCGGTACATCAAGCATAGTTTCAAGGATGAAAGTGATTATGACCGCTGCCACTTTCGACGTTATAGGAATGTGTCCACTTGTCTTATCTACAAAGCTCTCCTCGTTCTGGGAAACCTTTCAATCCGCCGCAACTGCGAGCTGAACTGCGAGCAGATCCACCGATACAAGAGGCCACATGGATACTGCGACCAATCACAAGGTCTGCCTGATGAGAGATACGAGAGCCATTCGGCATCTCAAAACGACAGGCAACCCTGCAGTAAGTCATACAAATCCGTCCGAGCCTGCTTACTAGTGCTAATTGAGTCGAATCTGCAGAGAGGAAGCACTGCTGGTCAGCGATGCCAAAAGGTCTCTGGGGTCTTTTGCCTCCCAGTTCGCACAGCCACAGCAACAGCAACAGGACCTCAGAAACCTAAAATGGCCAGCCACTGAGGGGGAGAAGCTCATTCGCCCAGCCATCCATCAACTTCTGTTGGTGTTAAAAGCGCTGACTCGCTGCGACCGTTGTACTCATGTTGCTCTCCACTGGCAACCGGGCACATCCGCACTTCATGTTCATCTATCCCTCGTTAGAAACTGCACGGGAATCCAAGCAACAAGCACAGTCACACAGAGGCTTGAGGAATGAACATGTTGCAACATGTCCACCACAAGATCAGGAAGCGAATACACTATAATCATGGAGGTGTACACCGGACTTCGATCTGCAAACAACTTTCTGTATTGCTCTTCCGAGAGGACAAGCAGGATCGGCGAGGGTTGATACCAAATTGGGATAAACCAGACAAATTGAAGATATGAATGTCCCCCTTACAAAACCTGCAAAATATCCTTGATAGCAAAAAATAGTAATAGTAGTAGTAGTAGTAGCAGCAGTAGTAGTAGCAGCAGCAGTAGTACTGTAGTAGTAGTAGTAGTAACCAATAGGAATAAGAATCCCTGTCCCTTCTCTACATGGTCCGGACCAAAAAAATGCACCGACTTCACCCGGCTTGGTGAGCAGGACCTTGTGACTCATGTGACTCATAGGACCTTTCTGAGGGTTGGACAGAGCTTGCTTTCTGATGTAATGAGTCTATTCGCTCCCACCTGGAGGTCGGCAGCGAAAAGAAAACACGAAGTGGAACCTCTTCCCCGCGCTGCCGTGACACGGCGTGACGCGACGGACAATCCATGAAACCGAGGTGCCGACTCAAAAGCCAGCTGGGTTCCCTTGACACCCTTCGACGCTTGTGTGACCTCGGCCGAAGGTTCTCTCGGCCGCATTTACTCGCGAAACAGGAGGTGCCATGTTGGGTGGATTCTGCCGACATCAAAGTACTGGACGGGATCACAAAGAGTCTGCTTGGCCTTGAGTGACATCATGATCATGAAAATAAGGGAACGCCTTGCTAACAATGCTGCCATTTTCCAGGATGTGCCTTGCTGACAATGCTGCCCACATCATTGAGGACTGCTGCCTGAGTCAAATCTCGAAAGCTCCAGTCTTGGCTTGGCCGGCACGGCCGCCGCCCTCTGATTTCGGCCTCGGCCTGTGGGCCCCGCACCCAACGGCGATCGAGAAAGTCGCTGCGCAGCTTCTCCAAAAGCTTGGCCTCGAAGGCGCGGCAACCGGCTGAACCGGCGGAACCCGGCGGAGTCGGCGCTCCACGTGGCGCGGAGGAACCGCGGTCTTTCTCGGGTCGCCCAGACATTCTTTCGGCGAGAGAAAGACTTCTCAAAGGTCAAGCAGAAGCTCTCAACCTGGTGAATCCCAGCTACTTTGCATCTGTGTGAGGTGTGGTATGGAGAGAAAACATACGAAAAGCAGGTGTTCACTCACACAAGGAAAAGAGCAAGTTAAAGACAAACCTTGTCATGTCCAAGGCTTGAACTAGCTCCGACATAAGCTGCATCACATTGTCCTGAATCACTGTCATGAACAGTTGAGATCATGTGACTCTCTCTCACCCCAGTCACTTGAAGAACCCTGAGGAGCCAGCGACAGGCCGAAATCCACCAACCAGCTCAGTGCTCTCGCTTTGCTCATTGAAGTTGTAAACCAACACCTTCCGTCTACGGCAAAGTGACCCAAGTATCATTTCACTTTCCCCCGAGTCTACTCCTTCTGATCTACAGCTTCACATTTGGGGCAGTGCCCAACTGCCAACCCCAAACTGCACCTCTCTGCCAAGCAAGCGTCCAACGTGCTGGACTACTGAAGTCTTTCCAGTTCCTGTGTCACCTCGAGACCGCTCTTTTTTCGTTTCAGTATGGAAACACACAGAAGCATACAACTGAAGTAACTTGCACGGTTCGCTTGTAATTCGTCGCAAATAACTACGGATCTTTAAACCTGAAACCACCAAGAGTCTTGCCAACCAACAAGGCGGGCTCATCGCTGCGGATCGCTGATGCAAGCGCCTGAAGTCAACATCCGGTAAACCCCTCTGACCAGCAAGTCAGCGACAAATGAAACACCACAGAACAGCCACATTTGGTTCAACCGGAGACGCGGTACCTGCAATACACGAGCATGAACAGAGGTATAGGCAAAGGGCTCGCAGCGCGCTGCCTGAAATACTTGGATTGGTATAGTATATATGTATATATATATATATATATCTGAAACAACTCCTTTGTAAACACATACCAATCTATCTATCTAGAACCCACCATTGAAAATGCTCTCGCCATAGCAAGCCGTTCATGCCTTGCACTGATGCTGAGGCCGGCTCTGGATCGCCTCCCTTGGTCAAAGGAAGCACTATCTCCCCAATTTGCACCTTAGGAAAAGCGCGCATTGTGTGGCAGTGCCGGCACGACCAAACAAAAAACCACCTGCTGAGCATCTGCTGCTGATGGTAGAAGAGTCACAGTTGGACGCTCCTGCAGTGCACAGCTGTTGTCTGTTCCTCTCTCAGGCTTTTGTTCAACTCTCCTGTAAAAGGGCTTCTGCTACACCAGTTCCAAGGGACCACAGTGGTGCCAAACCTTGAATCGGCTCACGAAACGAACCCCGAAAAAACGAAAAGATTGGCTTCGCTGCCAAACAGCGGCTGGAAACTGAGAAAGAACACCGAGGACCCCACATGACAGAAACGAACGGCGATGCCGAAGGTCTGCCACTCGGCCCAGCAACACCTGGGCCACCGTTGACGGACTGTGTCGGATCGGCCCCCCGTTGGTCGCTTCGAATCTAACCGTTGTTCATTCGGATCTCGGCGAAAAAGAAGACAGGCCACTGCAAGGGTGTGTGTGTGTTAGGAAAAGCCATTGCGACCTTTGGAGACAAACAGGCACCCAAGAGACACCTGCAGCGCTTCGCGTAAGAGGACTGCACGGCTCTCCTCCGTAAAGGTTGGACCTAGGATGCTAAGTGTCTCCGTATTTTGGTGCTTTGGGTTCGTCTTTTCAGACGTTCTGGGCAGAGAAACTGCTTGCGAATTCTATGTCAAGACTCAAGATCCTAAGATCTTGACTGACGAAATCACATGCTTCTTGAACCAGCTTCTCGAACTGAGAGCTGAGAGCTTTGCTTAAGACCAATTGCGCCTTGCGCAAACGTGCGCACCAGCGCAGGATGTCACGCCTCACGACATTCAACTCTTCGTGTTGACATATTTTTACAGTCGGAGAACATCAAGCGATCACTAGGACACGAACGGACCCGTTGCGGGTCCAGACCCCAACGCAGGTCCAGCTTGATGAGCCTGCTGCCTGTGTGGAACGTGTCGACATCATGTCAACCAACAGACTTTCCAAGATGAAAGCATCGAGTCCAGCCATCTTCTGAGCATGCCACTGTAGTACTGCAGCAGACTCCAGCAATCGAGCATTCAACGGCGTAAACTCAGGGTAAAGACCTGTCCATTCCGCGCGCTGTCTGCAATAGGCCGTCTCTCTGCAAGATCTCAAGTAGCCATTTCAGCGAGCTGCCATCAACCAACTCTGCCAAGTGAGTCTGTAGTAGCGGGGCAAGCTGGACCTCAACACAGAAGCGGCCAGAAACCTTCACCATCACTTGATGTGGCTGGAAGCTGGGATCATGGCCCGAGTCCAGGCAGAGACCAACGGCGGAACCTGAGACCCACGATGCGAAACGCGGAACCGTGAGACACGTCGTGAGACTCGGACAACTAAGATCTTGGGTCGCAACCCTGCCACCAATGCCAGCCAAATGGGATCCAATGACATGACCTGCAAATCAGCCAAAGCTTTAACCGAATGGAGCCATCTAAACCAACGTGCTGAACCCTTCTCAGCACCCGAAGTGTATCAGGGCAGGCTATGTATTGGCACGGCACTAGCACGTTCATCGAGCCTTCTGTTCCGCCGGCCTGGCGCGTTCACACGATATGGACCGTGAATTCGGCATCAACCAGAAACTCGCCCGCACGACGCTCTCGAAGGATTGCCAAAGCCTCAAAGAAGTCGCACTTTCAGGTTGTCTGTGGCATCGCAACCCCGGTCATCTGGTTTGTTGGGTGTCCAGCACAGGCTGTGAACCAGAAGAGAACGTTCCAAAAAGGTGGAAGTCCTGGTAGGTCGTTGCTCGGGAAAGCGTGAGCATTGCTTTCAAAAAATGCTCTTTTCAGGAAAGAGAGAGAGAGAGAGCGAGCGAGTGAGTGAGTGAGAGAGTGAAATAGAGACAGTGGGGCAGAAATGTGAATATCGTCAATGAAAAATGTCCTTGTGCGCATCGATGCACTGGTTCCTTTCAGGAATGACCTCAGGACACTCTTGTGTGGCAAGTTGTTGCAGAGTCACTGTCAGGGCCAAGCGCTGGACCAAGCGTCTCGATGATGAAAAGGGCAGTAGAGCTGCCAGCACCTTGCAGGTCTGCCAACCTGTTTGACCATAAGTTCATTCTCAACTCCCAGCCTCTGCAGGTACTCTATCCACATCTTCTAGCACAAGCCATCTGCCCAATACAAACTGGTGCTTTACATTGCAACCCAAAGCAACGCAAAACGGCCTCCCCTGTTGCAAAGCTTCAGTGACAACGCCAGGTCGCCAAACAAACTCCCCGACCTCTGGTTGAGCAGAGTGGCGGACACAACACCCAGCACTCATACAGCAAGTTCTGGTCATCTACAGTAGATTGATTGAATCCCACATTGTCTATTGTACTGTCTGGGAGAAGTCTCCTTGGATCCACGCAGTCTCACCACACACGTATGCACCCAGTAACATCTTAATGTCTGTCCTTAGGCACAAGTCACAAGATGCTAAGCCTCAAGTGCAATGCTCATCCGGGTCACTGCTCATCACAGAACAGGAAGACCTAGGTGCCAACAAACTGGATCATCAACGCCTAAACTCGGCTTATACGTAAGATGTTTTTTCTGGATCTCTTCTCTTTTCCTGAAGTCTTGAAGCGAAGGCCAAGCCACGTCATGCATTTTTCTCAACTTATCCTCACATGCAGAAGCGTCGTTCCAAGGGGTCGGCAGGCTCTTGCTGACCCATCAACTCAGCCTTAGGCACATGCAAAGTCAAAAAAAATGTGTTGCATGATGGTCATATCCACACCGATTGGCCAGCGTCTGAGTATGTCTGCAGTCGTTTTCTCCCAAATCCTTCTTTCAAAGCCACAGATGCCACAGTGAGTAAATTTATTTGTTCAAATCGCGTTCCAAAAATGAAGAAGTGAGATGCCTCGGTTCCGAGGAGAAGAAATCGGCTTTTCTGCTGTAGATCAGTCCGGTGGTAGATGCATCTTGTTGAGCGCAGCGACGTCAGGCTGAGCCATCTGCAGCTCTTCTGATGAAGGTCGTCTTGCCAGCAGAAGGCCCGCTAAGAAGGGTAGGGCTCCCAACGCCTGCCAGAGAAATGAAGCTGGATAAACAAGGCGACTGTGCAGGCTCTTTTGGCTCCACTTCTAAGGTTTAGTTTAGCCAGGGAAAATTATATAGATTAAATAGAGACAACTCGTTTCCACCTTTGATCCCTTTTGAATTGACTCTATGCGGTAGCAAGTTTGTTTGGGTGGGCGCCACCCTTCGACTGCCAATGCCCTCTTATTCTACGTCAAGCCTATGGCCAAAAGCAGCTGGCGCATCACCTCCATCAATTTAGCTTCTTTCAAAATGCGCCAGGATATGAAATTGCTTAGCCAGTTCTGGAAAGGCTGTGCCACAGGTGCATGCTGTGCAAAGTGTACAACTTCTGGCCTGCGCTGCTGGATGTGTAGACACAAAAGGCAGACGTTCAACCACGTTGGGATCAATCACCTGAGGGCCACAACTTCCGTCTGAACTGCAAGGCCCCTTGAGGCCCCTGAACTGTCTCATTCGAGCCTTGAAGCGAACTCCATGACGACACCTCACCTGCCAAGTACGTGGCACGCAGTCCGCGGTCGCCTGCCCTGCCACTTTTGACTGGTGTGATTACACTGGTCTGATTGCACCTCACCAGCATCCCAAGAGGTTGTTGCGAGATCAACCTGAGAGATGAAAGAAGTGAAAAGGGGAAGGGGACACCCCAAAATCTGGGTCTCAACAAAACTTTGATGCTCAAGCACAGCAAGGCCTGCAGTTGAGAGCTATCCATTTCCACATCCAGTGTCCTGCACTCCCACAACTTGACTCCATTGCCATTGGAAGCCATTTGGAAGGCTGCAGCTGCCTGCAAGTCTGCTTGGAGTCGGACCTGCCTCAAGAAATCCCACGAAGCAAAAGTGCAAGTAAGAGGAAAGTCATGCTGTTGCAGCATCTATGGCATAGAAAGCAAGATCTTCAGTTCACTACTTAACTTCCAAGCAAGCACCTTCCGTCTCAATGGATTGTCACAGTAAGGCCTTGAAGCAGAGCATTGAGCCTCATGACTCATGACGAAATATGATTGGATAGCATTGATAGCACTATTCCTGTTGAATTCAGGTCTTGTGTTTTGTTGCAAGCATTATGCCTAGTGAGACGCTGTTGAGTTCCTGACATTCCGCGAGTTCAACGAAAAGCATGGAATGTCGCTAAAATGCTTGATAACATACAGCTGTCTGCTTGAGTTTGAGATGCTGGAATTCCAAAACAACACTAAAATGCCACATGGGAGCGAAAGAAAGGGGTAAGGCCTAACTTGATGAAGGCACAGGTGTGCAAACATACACAACATGATTTTGCCTTTTGCTGATGTGTAAACTGCTGCGACGAGAGTATGTCACATATCATGTGAATAGATCTGCAGGGACGTCTGGATCTTGTTCCTACAAGAACAACAACTTGAAGAACATCGGGCTTGATGTTTGTTTGATCAAAGCCTAGCAATTCGGGTCAGAGTGATGTTGATGCATGTGTGGGTAAGAGCCCGTGAAACCCTGGGCTACCCGCAGGAGCATAGAAGACCCATAAACGGCGTGAATGTTTATGTCCACGCCAGATTTCTTTTGGCTCTTGCAATTTGCAGGATTGCAACAAATGCTGGTCAAATTGTCAAACTAACTTGCCAGAACCTCTCGAACGTGTAAAATATCCCAAGAAAGGCAGACCTTCACAGGAATCTGCTAACAGAAGAACCAAGTCCAAGATATCAAGCCTTCCTTTTTGATCAGCTGTCTGCAGTGTCTGTGCTCGAGTAGTTAAAACGATCAACTCTCTGTCTGGAGCACAGGTAGATTTGCAATGGATCTAGAATCTAGAACACCGGGTCTACAAGACTTCTTCATTAGCATTGCCCCACTACAAAAGCCACAACTGATATGAGCATGTTCTACTCTTCAGAGCCTTGTCTGGCATGTTTCTCGATGTTCTTTGGCTAGCTTGACAATCACTCTTTCTTACAACACACTGTGTGATCTTCCTGCACAACACAACAATATTCACCATCACCCAAGCTCCTTCTTCAAGTCAACCCACTTTGTTGTCAGACCTCCTAGCACTTCACGGCTCTTTGCGAAGCAAGTGAGTTCTTTCCTCACTTGTAGCTTCACTGTACTTGCGATAGGAGTACAGAGAAATCAAAAGAGATGCAACAGCGGCACTGATGAACAAGAGAGTGTGTTGCCACTTTAAATCTGACAGCTTGAACTCGGAGCCATGAGTCAGCAAGTCCTCTGCATCTTGCAACGATGCACCCAGCGCAGAGTATAGAAAGGATATCCATATCGTGTGGGGAAAGGCAGCTGCCAAAATCTTCCAAACAGGGATTCGTAGAGTGGCTGGTGCATAGTTCTTCATCCAAATCGGAATGATCAAAAAACGAAATAGAACCAGAAATTGCAGGGAGTCGTCCGCTTCTTCAAGGCACTTGAAGGCTTGTTGGGCTGCAGGAAAATGTCCGCTGTCGAGCCAGCGACGAACAGGCTCTTGCAACCTTGCCACTGGATCCAAATGATTACCCCTCCCACAACTCGAGGCTTCTCGCTATTCATAGATATATATATATATTATATATATTATATATATTATATATATTATACTATATATATATATTTATCAGAAATTCGACCTTCAAAGAAAACTAGTCATACTAAAGAGCATCATACTAGTTCTTCTGCTGAGCCGCAAAGTCTTTGCAAGGAGTGTACTGCCAATCGTTGTTGCATAAAGCACCAAAAAATTGAGCAAAGTTCCTTGATTCAAGCCTTAGGCAGCAGTCTTCTTTGGGACATAAGCGTGCCAAAAAGTGATCAAGTAAGGAGATGGTGTCTTACTGAGAATCTTGAATCATAGATCTGAATCTAGTAAACTGATTGGGGATCATAATTCACTTGCGGATTGGTCCTATGTGAACTGTCAACCTCCCATCATAAGGCCGTGACTTGCGCTCCATCAACTTAGCCTCTCGCCAAACATCAGCCCAGACAGAGCACAAGCAGGTGGCCAAAAAGGCAAGCCCAGCATACTCAGCACGAAGAGTAACAATGCCCAACCAAGAAACCAGCCCCACCCCGGATTGTCTGGCAACCACTTCAGCAGTTGTATGAGAAAGTTTGCCGGCCCTGCAATGTACAGGCACATCGGCACCACCAGGATGGCTACAACAGAGACCACAATTCCACAATGCACAAGCATAGTGGTTTTGTCATATTGATCCTCGTCATCAACTGCCATCACACCGAGATGAACGAATTCAGCTCAGCAGCTTCATTGCTGGAACTTGGCCCAAATGCCTTCGACTCAAACCCGAACAACCAACGGAAAAAATGAGAGACGGACGCTGTGAGCGTGCACTTTTGTTATCATAAACCAACTATATATATATATATATATATGAGGAACAACATAATCAATGAGGGTGATTTGAGTGAAGCCCTTTAGGACAGTGTCAAACAACTACAGTAATGTTTAAAATTCAAGATATGGAATGTAAAATATCAAATTTGGAATTGAAAAATTATATTTCTATAACAATCCACTTTGATGAATTTGAATATGACCCAACAAGAACAGGTAATCATATTGAACTACCTAAATGGGTTGAACTAAACAAACATATATCATATATCAACATCAAAAATAACAATAACAAATAATTCAAATACTGTGTTCAAACATTTTAGTATAAAGTTACTAAAAATCATCCAGACACGATGTTCCACTACAACTATTCGCCTAAATTGTCCAACAAGAAACAGTGACACTAAATGATGACAAGGTAATCAAGCACAGAACTACAAAGGTGAAGAATGCTAAATATCAGATTGACTTGCTGCAGGCTTATGATGATACTAAAAAATGTCGCTACGCAATCATCAAGGCTACTTAGTCACCAAATGAATGATGACAACAATCCCAAACACAGCTGTAGGTACTGCACTCATCCACTCACCAAAAAGGATTTGTTGGATAAACATCACGAACATTGATGTTTGGCAGCAGAAAAAGATCACTTTTTTGGAATTCACCAGTTTAGCGCCACATAAACTCAAAATGTCCCATTGCAGCTACGTCTGACAATGGTTGTTTGAGGGGCACATCAGGAACATACACCATGTGGGTTTGTGTGCAGTGAATTTAATTAACTGCACACACCAACGTCCACACACGTTGAAGACTGTGTGGACACGGTTGTGGACAACAAGCTGACAAATTGTTGTGGACATGTAAAACTTGAAACAATGGGCACATCACATGAACAAAAAAACGATTCCCAAAATGCAACTCGTTTCTCAATCTGCTTCAAGTGAAGAGAAATGTTTGCCTTGTGATTTTGACAGTTTTGCCAGGTTGAGTTCCAAACACCAGAAGCTTGAAGATGCCATTTTCGGCAAACACCACCAGTTTCCTGTGGAACATGACCAAACAACAACTGAACAAAGCAACAAACAAGCAAGGTGGCCCTCCAATTTGTTTCCGTTGGAAAGCGAATTGGTTTCAAAAGCCGCAACAATCCGCCGATGTGAAAAAACTGACGATGAAGCTGCAAAACATTGGATGGGTCTTGATTCGACTCCGTGTATGAAAGCCATGTTCCGTTTCAAAAAATTGTCCAGTTTCTCTTCTTTCAAGACCAGAACATTCGACCGGTGGCAGCCAGAAACGCATTGCTGAGATCATGCGTGTGTGGATCATCTTGTTTCTTTGAAGTGTTTTGGAAGACTTTTGGTTGTCGCAAAAACATTTTCGGACCTATGACCTGCAAGGCGACTTCAAGAAACAGAAAAAAACAGAAAGGTTCTGCAACGCATCTGAAGGTGGAGTTGGACTTATCCCCGAACGTTGGCCGATTTACTGTTCTCAGGCAAGATCAGATGTTACGGCAGAGATGGCCGCACCGAAGCAGAACTGCATGCTCTGCAAGCAGTGGCAAGAGATGGTTGCAGTCGGAAAGTATCTTGGATGACTTCTGTGCACTTTG